TACATTAATGTATATTTGCATATATAAAATTTAACTCGTCTTCTTCTACTTTTAGTTGCTGATTTGTAAGTTAAGTTTAAGTTATTCACGAAAATTTGAATCACGCTGTATCTAATTCTGACATTACACATGAGCCTTAGTTTAACTGATTTATAATTTCCTTCTTTGTTTTCTAACCCTGGTTTCTGGAAAGCACTTTGTAAAGCTGGTTTTGAAAAGTGCTACACCTAATTGTTATTATATGAAAGATTTGCTTCCACTTGTTTGTACAGAGAAACATGTTTACTTCCAAGTGAAGCAGAAAATGTTGGTGATGTCAGAGCGTATCCTGCACCGCTAAAGCAAGAAAGCAGGAAAAAGCCTAAGTAATAATGTCTGAGTAGTTAGAAATGGCACAGCTTTCCAAAATGTTTCCACCAGAGTTATGACACTATAAAAAAATGCGAGGACTGTCCGAAATAACGGACGTTGAGAATATCATCTATATTCTCCAGAATTCTCTGGAATATGTGGGACAGTGCCAAGAAATTAGACTGTATTTTGGGGTTTACTGTGTTTAACTGTATATAATAATAAGTAATTATTTAAATAACTAAATAATGACCAAAAACTTGTAGTATTCAATTCAAATTATAGACATGTGTTACATTTTATAAGACAGCCAGGCCTTCATCACTTATTCATTTGCTTGGTCAGAGGGACTTTTAAATTTGCTCACGGAGTACGAACAAATTCAGGCCCTAAAATATTAATGACTAGCATCCACACACTGTGTGAATAAGGCACAATGTTTCCTCCTGCGTGCTGCACACACCTGTGTGCTATTGTTCAGTTATTTCTGTGCGCATATATAGACACTTAATGGTCACTTAATTAGGTACACTTTGCGAGTGCTGGCTTGGATCCCCTTTTGCCTTCAGGACTGCTTTAATTCTCTGAGGCACAGATTCAACAACATTTCTCAGTGATTTTGGTTCATATTGACGTAATAGCATCACACTGTTATTGCAGATTTGTTGGCTCCACATTCATTACATAATCTCTTCTGGGATTAATAAAGTATTCTGATTCTGATGATGTGACTCTCTCTTTCCATCACATCCCAAATGTGCTCTTTTGCATTGAGATCTGGTGACTGTGGAGATCATTTGAATACAAATGTTACGTCATGTTCAAGAAACCAGTTTGAGATGATTTCATGGCTTGTTATCCTGCTGGACACAGTCATCTTCAGTGTTTCTAAATACCACAGCCTTCAGCAGGTCATCTTGACCATGTCAGTGTCCTTAAATGGATTGAGCGGCTGCCATGGGATTGGCTGATTAGATATTGCGGCCTAAAGTAATCCTACTGTTGATCTGTATATTCTAGTTTTTAAAATTTTTGCTTCAGTTTGACTTTTTCCCCCAATGTTCCAACATGTCCTGTTCCTTTGGGTTGTGTCCATATCACCACTCACAACAGTAAAAAGCACATTCATAATTTTAACAGTATATGCATGACATAAAATAAAGAAAGGCATAATAAGTCTCCTTTAATTAACTTGAAATTGTCTTGCAATGTTTTCCCAGTTTTCCCAGCCCCTGTAGTTTAATCATTTGAGCCTTTTCATCATACGCAGATCCAACTGCGCCTGTGATTCAAGTACCAATCACCCTGCTGTCTTAATGGACGGGCGCCCAGTCTGGATGACCATTTAGCAAACGCACCTTGTTGCTGTCACCTTATTTAAATGCAGTATAGATGCTACTCAGTGCTTTTAATATGAGCAGTCTGCCTCTTGGATCACAGTTGTAAGCCAGTACTTTTAATTTGAAATTATTTTAACAGCCTTAAGCAAGTACTGTTTGTTCTGAGGCACTTGTTCTGGTTCCTGGAAACTTTGCCAGGCGTCGCTTACCCCGCTGCTCACTCACACCCCCACAGTTAGTTAAGTTATTCTGTTAAGACACAGGGTACTATTTGGACGGGGAGCACAGTTCGTTAGCTGTTAGCAGCAGTCAGCAGAGATACTCAGACCTCCAGTCATAGCCTCCAACTCTTTCAGGGGAGACATAATCTCTCCAAATTATGCCTCAAGATCTCCTCCCAGTCCTGCTGTGACACTTGAACCAGAAGACATCCTAGCTAGATTTCCATGTTAGATTATTTGATGACTCTAAACTAAGTCCTGTACGTCTACATGAATGGGTAGATGGGTAAAAGACCTGTATGAATCCATTTACATATTAACTTGTTACTGTAACCATTTTGCTGGTTAATAAATACCTTTACTGAACTTCACACTCTTTGCCTTAGCTGAGCAGGGACGTGACAGTGATACACACCTACATGCCCAAAATCTTGTTTTAATTTTATTAAGGCTCTTAGGTATCAACTATTTAAAAAAAACGTTGAATAGTTCTTATCTGCAGATATTACAACAGCACAATGGAAACTCTTAAAGACCCTGTTAATACTGCATGATTTAATTTAAAGATAATGTAAAGCTGTCAGAGCCAAACCACTAAAAGACTAACAGCTGATGTAAGATGTAAACTCTAAAGGGACACAAAACGCTCAGCTGAGTTTATCAAAGTGGATTCAAGGTGAAATTTAATATACTGTATATATACACATACAGGTCTGATTTTTTTCAATACTTAATGGCATTCAATTTGACTTTAAGATTTCTCTGAGTGTAAAAAAGAATGACACTCGTTGCTGTTATCTTTCTCCAAGGTTTTAAGAATCATTAAATAGTCATTCACTGAAAAAAAAAAAAACTTCCCTAAGAGAACAGCTTCTCTGTGAAAATCTCAGGCAGTGTATCCTCCCTCACACAGGAGAAGTAGGTGGATGAAAAGTGAGAAATGACTTTGAGGATGACTTACTCTACCTGATGGGTCCGCCGGTGAAAATTTCAGCTTTCATCTCATCTCTTCCAGAAACTTCTCCGTAGTCTCCGACTTTCCACACGGTGTAGTTCTTCACAACAGCGCACGACTCAAAGAAGGAGCACGTGCCGCACTGGTTAAACAGCTCGCACTCTACAACAAATGAAGAAGATGATTTAAAGTTCAGTGAGCGCTCAGTTTGCTCCTCATTCAACTGCTTGTTAATGCTACTGTCTAATCAGCCGGTCACATAGCAGCAACTCAATGCATTTAGGCGTGTAGACATGGTCAAAACGACCTGCTAAATGCCAAACTGAGCATTAGAAAGGTGATTTAAGTGACTCTGAATGTGGCGTGGCTTCGATGCCAGACTGCTGATCTCTAATTTTACTAAGTTGAGAATTATGTCAGTTACATTTTTCCTCAAAACAGCGAACATGTCAAGACTTACCATGTTAAAACTAGTGATTTAAAATATGCTAGGACTTCACTAGAATTGCATCTCAAAACTAGACAGATAGCTACTCTAAAGGCCCAGAATTGTGGACACCAAGCTGTTGCATTCATATATGAAAGCAGAATATCTCCTTACAATAATCTGCTGCTTTAATCGCCTCCACTCTCTGTCTCTCCATATTTTGGAGTCTGGTTGTACAGATTTTTGTTCCTGTTCAGCTACAAGAGCATCAGTAAGATCGGCCACGCACAGTAAGCTGGCAGTAAGAATTGGCTCCCAGTCCGTATTACAGTGAAGAGCCCATCTCGCTTTCTTCATCACTGATTGCTTTCCGTCTTTGTCACTTCTTGTCTTCCCGACCGAGTTCACCGAGTTCGTCTGCTCCCCGCCATGTGGCAGCAGTTCCAGAAAGAGGAGTTTATGCTTCTTTTTCACAGGAACTTTACTCATCCTCATCGCTTTATGATGGAAAACTGAAACTAACATCACTTGTTGAGATGTACAGTAATCTTACTTTTGCTGTTTTGCAGCGCTGTTTAAAATCTCTATTACAATGCCGCCACTAAAAAAAAATAGTGCACTGAAACTGTATACTACATCCACTGACTGAGAACACGGCGAACTGGCCTGTCTATGTATTATCATAAGGAGTCGTTAGACTTAATGGTTTCATTAATTCTCTGTGTTCCTGAATAAATGCCCAGCATGCCAGTCAACCTTTTCCTCTGAACCGTTTATTTAAGAGGCTTCATGTCAGAGCGCCGTGCAGGCGGGTCAGGACAAGCATTTCTTCAGAGGCACAGGTGCAGCACCATTGTGCTTGAACAACAAAGAGAGAGTGAGATCATTTCAACAGGCCCTTTTAGGACACAGAGGTGGGTCGAAGCTTTGCACTTTTTCCATTTGCCTCTTTTTTCCCAGTATTTTTGAACCCTCATAACGTCAAGAATAAAGACAATTTCAGGGCTGACACCTCATATTTAAGCTCTGTTATAAACTGCAACCAACTCAATTTTACACCCAATCCAAACGATCCAAACTCCAAACCATCAATATCATGATATATGTCACAGTCACAGTTTCTGGAGAAAGCTACCAAAGCTGAATTCTGGGTAAACTTTTAAAGTCACACTTACAAATCAACACGTGGGATATTTTGTGTCAGTCAGGTAAGCTGGCATGGTCACAGAGAAAAGAATTTACTTTGCTCAAGTACTTGCTTTATTCTGTGGCAGTGTGATGGGTCTCTTATCAACTGCTTCATATTTTGTAGAGCCACCTGCGAGCTAATTTTAGCCCAGCGATGGCGATGAGGCCAGTTGCTGGAGCTCAGAAAGGTTTTCTGCTGGTTTTGCAGTGCAGTGTTGAGCTTCTACTTTCTCCATTTCCTCCTGCCTCTGCCTCCTGTTGCTCTTTCTCTGCAGTCACGTTAGCATCACTCTTTACCTCTCAGACATAGTTATTGTCTTTTGTTACTTTCAGCTTAACTTTGAAGTTTATTTTGGCATGTGTCTTGTTTTAGTTTTACTTCCTGTTCCTTTGTGATTGTCTGCTCTGCCCTCATCACCTTCACCTGTGTCTAGCCACCACTCATCCCTCTGTGAATGCTGTCAACGCCCTCCTTTGTCAGCACTTCTTCAGTCTGTAGGTTTCTTTTTGTTTTTACAATAGCTTAACAACAGCTTTTTTTATTTATTCACCTGCTTCTGCATCATGAATTTGGAAGCTCCTCTCTAATGTGTTGCTGACAACAGAGAGCATGTAAATTGGACAAAGCCATCACTCAAAGGGGAATTTAACACGTTTGTTCCCGGTCATGTGGTGGAAAACATTTTTTCACTGTCAACTAGCTATGCAAAAAATTCAGGGGACTCCTAATATACAGTAGGCTACAGACCAACATCATGAGGCTTTGTTGAGATGGGTCTGGAACCTACGCTCAGATTTCAGATCTCACCCTGGGTCAACACACCTGAATCAAATGATTAGTTCATTACCAGGTTTCTGGAGAACTTCAAGACATGTTGATGAGGTCATTTAGTCATTTAAATCAGTTGTGTTGGATCAAGAACACATCTAAAACCTGCAGGAAACCGGCCCTTGAGGCCTGGAGTTCGACACCTGTGCTCTAGCCCCACCCCCACAACCCTGAATTTAATAAGTTGATCAGATCTAGCTGACATTGAGTGAAAGATGGGTTATGACCAGGTTAGATTGCCAGTCTATCACAGCGTAACACAGAGAGACAACTGCAGCCTCACCTAAAGTGTAATTTACAATCAGACCTCAGCAGTTAATGCAATAATAGATTACTTTTAAATGCCAGTAATCTTAAGTAACATCATCCAATTCTGATCGGAGCTAATCAAAAGGAAATATGGCCTTTGATGAAAACAAACAAACAAACAAAATATAACTCAGTATTTCTTTACTTTGGTTTTTGGCTTGGTAGTTGTTGCAGGTTTCATCAGGAATGCCTCTTTCGTGCGCGTAGGCGTAGACTCTCAGGTGATCGCCTCCGTAACAGGAACCTGCCCTCCCGCAGTCTATCACGTTCTGCACGGAGAGGTACGCCGATGGCCACGCTCCTCCACGCTTGACGTTGATGCGGTCTTAGACAAAAAGAACGACACACATTAGCAGGAGCCGGTGGATGCTTCTCCACTTACCACTAAATTTAGTCATTTTCATTTCACATGACAATATGCCCTCTAGCCGTATCGCTATTATCAATTTCCTCCATCCCGCTATTGTCATGGTTACCAGCTAGCGCACTGGTGGCTCCCATGGCCCAGCAGGAGCCACAGTACTGGGGGATGTGTTGGTTCCTCGTGACGCTCACATAATTCTTCCCATCGATGTTCCTCCAGTCCCATGACGGAGGAAGCTTCAACACCTCTACATGCGGCCGGGCCTGCGTCCTAAACAAAGGGGAGTGATGAGCAGCTGTAATTATTGTTATTAAAGCGAGCACAGATGTTTTCACTTGTCTGACTAATATCATCCCCTCTCGGGAGTGTGTGGGTAGTGTAACTGCTGTGACTGACTGACATTTCCTGTGGGTGCTAATAGCCAGACAGGACATTTGCATGTATGTGCGGTGATATCCGTCCCTGCTGAGCACAAAGTTCAGCAAGCATGTTATCTCACTTTAGATGATTTTGCACCAGTTATCAAATTTTGTGCAATTACAGATAATCAGACGTGGCTTTGTATTAATTTAATGGAATTTTATGTTTTTTTGACCAAAAAAATGTTAGTTTGTTCCCTCTGCATATCAAGAAATGTATTTGAACTCTCAATGATACTTCTCAGTTTGCAATGTTGTGGATTTTTTTTTTTTATCAAGCCCTGCTGTTTAATGGAGAACTTAATGGAAATGGGTATCTCACTGCTACTTTGTTTATTATAATAAAGCCTGTGGTGAAAAGTACTAAAGTGCAGTTTTAAGGTGCAATTTTAACTGTTTATACTGGCAAAGGAAGTATTGTACATCTCCTATTATGTCTCAAATTAAACCTTGACATAATACTCTAGTAAAACAAGAAATTGGTAAAGAGTAAACGTTCTATTCATTTTTGCTTGCACACTCCCTAAAAATGTGCTTCTGTTTTTTTAATAACTATGTGAAGTTAATTAAGTTACCGATTTTTCCATGTAACGACACACAAATTTGTTGTCACTTTGTCTAATATAGATGAATGAAGCTCCAAATTTATCAGCTACAGCAGTAAAGTAAATCTCTAAATGATGCAACAACATTGTAAGAAATGTCTCATAACATTTCCAATCATAAGATTTCAATTCTTCTTCTTTTGCTGCTGTCTTTAGGAGCCAGCACAGCAGATCACCGGCCTCTGTCTCACCCTATCTGTAACACCCTCCTCTGTGGCACCAACCCTCTGTATGTCCTCCTTCACTACATTCATGAATCTTCTCTGCGGTCTTCTTGTCCACCTGCCTGGAAGATCCCTTTTCAACATCCTTTAAACAATTCATAACTCTTCTGCACACGTTCAAACCATCTCAGCCTTGTACTCATGTCTAATCCTGCCCATTCTGGTCACTCACAGTGAAACTCTTAACATCTTCCATTCCTCCACCTCGAGATTTTTTGACAGTGACATGCGAAGTGTGTATGTATTTTAAATTAAAAATTAAACACATGCAATCTGTGTAGATTACAGGTGTCGGACTGATCATGTGAGGACCAAACAGGACTTAGTTACACTTTCCCATCTCCCTCATTAGGTAAAGATTGTTTCACAGTCTTGTAATAGTCACTATTCTTTGCATATGTGTGTATTCCCTTTTTCTGCTGTAACAACTCTTCAAACCTTTAGCCTTTGTTCACCTGCTGTTCTGCATATTTGTAGTGATGAATCCTTCGATCATCTTTTTGAGGTTTCTTGTGAGCGTATGTTGAGTTAACCAGACACTGGTGGCCCAGTTTTAATTTCTGTGTGATTTGGTAATAAAAATACACAGAAACTGGAACACAGGCCACCCCTGTTATGATTTATGATTTAACTACATTTAACTACAAATAGTTTTATATTTTCTAATTAGCTTTTTTATGACTGGGTTCAGAGTGTTTGTTTCAGTGTTGCAGTCTTTATTATGTGGAGTGTATTTGTTAGAAGAATAAATCCATAATAGGAATCACAACACTTTGTGGAAGCAGCCATTCAGACATCCCAGCTCTCGACACATTCACAGACGCCTCGTCAGGCAGGTTGTGCGGATAAATCCAACCAAATGAACAAAAAATACAAAATAATTTCCCCCAAAAAAACTACATTTAAAATGTTATGTTAGTTGTGAAATTTTTCCGAAGTCTACTCCTATTTCTACTTTAGTGACTAAAGTGTTTTTTTTAACATATACCTTTTAGTGTAGCTTTAGTGATAATATTGCTATATCTAAATATACAAGCTTAGTTTCAAGGAAAACCCTAGTACTGTACACGTAAAACAATACACGTCATTGGGAGAAAACATATTTTTGAGATTGCACCAAAGTACTGAAGTACAGAAAAGTATCCCGGAACTCACTTTGATACTCATGTTAATACGTTTTTATTTAATTAATACGTTAACGTTATATTACTACACTAAGGACACTAAGACGAGTAATTACCATATTATTAAGAGACGCTGCAGCCAACTTTTAGGATAAGGAAGGCTGCCAGAGTTCCTATTTCTGAGCTAGTTTAGCTCCTCTCTGAGCTCACGTGAGTACCTGTGTGACTGCTGGAGGTCGAAATCTTCACCTACCTGACAAAGTCCGGCCTGTGGTCTCTAATGGGTTTATAACACGGTTCGGTGAGAAGCCTGGAGGCGCTAAACTGTTGTGAAAATGATGCTAAACAAAACAGCAGACATGCAAAATTTGTAGCCGCCATGTTGGCCCCGCCCCTTTCCTCTGACGCAGTGACGCGATCACAGACAGCCCCCTGTCGGCTCGAGAGAGCACTGTTCACTCCCTGTGAACACAATAGATGGATATATACATATAATATATATACATATACACATATAATATAAAAATGTACATATATTGTGTCATTGTTGCATTTTAGAAGACATGTTTGTGTAACTGACTTTTAACTGTATGGTTATCAGTCAGTTCTTTTCTTAAGACATGTGACAACACACTGAAGCAGGCTTTTAAGTGGATCACTACCTAACAAAAATCACAAATGACTGCTCTCTTTTCAGGCAATAACAATAAACCAACAAGCATTTCTGCAGTGGCATAATTAGCATCATTAAGCTATTATAGGGACCTGTTCTGTTCATTTCAGCACCACTTCTTTATTCTTTGACACCACAGAGTAGCTTGTTTTAACAGTTCACTACTCTTTTTCAGGTTTAAGTGAGCCTTGGGTGCAGTCCTCTTAATCTGTCCTCCATCAAAAACAAAGCTGCTCTCCCTTCTTCTGATAGATTTCCAGCAGAAGTCTAAATCAAACTCAACAGTATAACAGAAAATAAAGGCAACAATAATGGGTTTAATACTGTTAATTTTTATACTCTGATAAATAGAACCAAGTATTGGGGGACTGTGTGGATTTTTTATGATCAACTGGAAACTTTTAAATAACACACTCAGCTCCCACTTACACTTACATTACACCTAATGGAGTGCAGAGGACTGGTTGGGTTATATTGGAGAATATGAACCTCTTAACAAACATATTATGCTACAGGATGATGCTGAAATTCAGTGATGTCTCATTCTGTGAGATGTTAGCAGTTGTTTGCACGTGATTAAAGAATATATGTGCATTAGGCCTTAATTCAGTCAATAATTCAGTCTGTTTGCTGCATGATCCATTTTCGGCTCACGTGATAGGTGCTCAGGCTAACTTGTAGTGTTAAAAGTAGCAGATGGGCTCTAGAAATGAGTTACATAATTGCTGTTGGGTCCCAACCAAGGTTGGACTGATATAAAGGCAAACATCAAAGAGGGAAATCAGATTGGGAATATGCTTTCACATCTCTGTTTACAGAGCGGTTCCCTGCTACATGATTTAGGTTACATTTTCTGCTTTAATTTCATTTCTGGATGATGTGTTCCCTGATGTTTTATTTATTATCCAAATATTTGATTGAAAAAAGATAGAAGTGCACATTGACAGAACGACATATACAATGTTCCCGTAATTGACACCAATCTGTCCAAAGTGTTGCGCGTCACTGCTGTCACAGAGCCCCATCTTGATTCTAAATCTAAAAACTCTTAAGAAAATGGAGGGATGGATGATGATGCTCATGGCAGCTGACCCATATAATATTGCCATGGAGACCGATAGGTCCTCCCTGTTTTTAAATACTGAAGAGTTAATGTCTTTAGCCCTATAACTTCTAACTTTTTGTCTGCTTAAAGTTATATGTCCTGGTACAAAACGTTAAATGGTTAAATGATATTACTCGTGATTATCAGGCAAGAATGACAAAAGGTGGAAAAAGAAAATTTCTTGGTGTTTCCTCAACACTGTGAAAAAATTCTCAACTATTTTGTTTATAAGACTGTAGAGCAAACATCTCGTCTCCTTCCTCCTTCAGTATTTTTCAGAGGAAGATGTGATTCTTAAGGTGTTCCAGTCTGGCTTTAAACCACTTCACAGCACAGAATCTGCTCTTTTAAGGTTTTTTAAGGATCTTTTATTACCTGCTGACTCTGGAGACTCAGTTATTTTAATGCTTTTAGATCTTACAGCAGTTTGCCAGCCATCAACAGTTTCAGAGTAATTTAGATCGTACTTGTCTGAGAGAAGTTTTAGGGACAGTTTTGGAGGCTCAACAGCTCCCTCTGGACCGCTCCTACGTGGAGTTCCGCAAGGTTCTGTTCTGGGGCCATTTTCTTTTGTATTCACTCCCTCTAACATCAATTATGAAAAGATATAGCATCTCCTTCCACTTCTGTGCTGATTATTCCCAGATCTAGCTGTGGGTCTGACAGGAAACAATGGCAGCTTGTTATTAGAATGTTACAGCAACATCAAAACCTGGATGACCATAATATCTTTAAAAATCAGTGAGAGCAAGATTGAGGTCAAGATACTCAGACCCATGAGTTCAAGTGGAGCTCTAATATTAGACACTGGGTCACTAGATCCTTACATTAAGCCCTTTGTAAATAATCTTGGCATGAAAATGAAAATTGTGCCTTAAAATTGGATTACCAGATTCATTCTGTTTATCCAGCTAATTCATGTTTTCAATTTAAGGTTGCGGGACTGTAGCATTCACAGGGTGAGAAGCAGGGTCCCCCTTGGAAGTTTGCCAGTCTGTTACAGATGTGGATGTAAATTTGACATTCTGTCAGTTAAACTGCTTTTCTACTGCAGACACCTAGGCTTCACTTTAAATACTTTAACATAAATTATTCCTAAAAATAATGTGTTAGCTGGCGAGCCAGACTACGCTGTATTTTGGACCTAACTTGTCCAACATCAGTATCACTAAAAATCATTTTTTGGAATAGAGTCCAGTTTCTTTGTTAGTATTGCTTCTGTTGTCACATACAGTAAAACTTACAGCTGTTTCGAGGGAAGCTGAGAACATTACTTTTTTGAATCCGATTGTAAACTTTGTTTAATTATAAATCCTAGAAAAAGGAAGAGAAAACTTTTTTATGTTTCTTCCTTCTTAGCAGCTGGATTTCAGTCACCAGGAAGTTTATTGACAACATTAAAATATGAACAAAATCCATATTGGAGTTACCATTCCTGAAGAGACTATCCACAGCTACCACAGAAATATGGTAAAAAGCCCACTTAAGCTGAGCCACCTTTAAAGTGCCTGCAAAGTGCCTTTGTGTAAATATTGAACTTGTTCACAGTTTGGATTTCACATATGGATCAATATTGAAGAAATCTGGACTTTAATCTCATTTTCCTTTGTCTTGTCTTCTTGGCAAATGGTGCTCTAGACTGGCAGTGGGGCATCTCCAGTGAAATCAAAAGATATGAGGATTTAGATGGATTTCCTCGTGAATATTTTTTTACTGTGTGGGATTTCTATGTAATTACATTTTAGAAAAGGTAATTGACTCTCTGTTTATCCACGCAATTCTCTATTTTCACACACATCCTTCTGAAATACAGAGCTAAATTGTATTGTTTTTGGATGTAAAATAGTTGCATCTGACCACTTTCATTTCATTTCCCTCATTTTGAAGACACAAAGTCAACATAAATACAAATTTGCTGACAGTTTCTGAACATTTAAACAGGAGACGTGGACAGCTGAAAACTGTCTTGAAATAAAGGACTCTAGTGATTGTATAGTGTTTCACATACTTCTGGCTTTATGTTTATGTATCCCAAAGCTTTCCCCTTAAAATGAACCCCTATACACTGCAATTTTGTCATATTTTACATTCAGACATTCATTGATGCTCCATCAGTCGGGGCCTTTGGTTTGAAAACAACAGCAACATTCTGTAATTGGCAAAACATTAATACACTGGGGTAAAAAATTCTAGTAGCAAAACATCAACTGAAGAAGATTTGCCATCTGTGTCATCCTTTTCCCTCATCTGACGTTGAGTTGCAATTTTGCGTTGGACAACTTTAAAACTATTGGATGCATAAAACTGCCATAAAACTTTTAAACAGCAGTTTTTGGTTCCCAGAGGATGAACTAGTCCCTTTAATTTTACTTTGTAACACAAATGATTTAGTGTCAAGTTACTTGAAACTACTGGATGGATGAAATCCTGCTGATGTTAAAGTCTCTCTTAAGCTAAATTATATTACCAAAACAACACTTTATTATAAGACTAACATTCGCCATTATAAGTTTTACTGTATACACTGCAAACTACTTCCAAACTAAGATAGTGAATATGATAAACATTACAGCTGCTAAGCATTATATTCAAAGCATCAGCATGTTGAAGTGCAGCTTTGTAGAATTATTAGAATGGCTGGAAGTGTTTCATTTTTAGTCTAGCTGAAGAGAATTATCTCACATTCACTGCCTTTAAGCTAAATGGTGCCAATTTAGAGATCTCAAAAGATCAGGGCTTCTGTGTAAGGCAACAGAACAATCTTGACTTAAAAATTGAGGCGAGTGACTCAAGAACAACTTGACCCAGAGCGCCACAGCGTAAAACTGTTGAATCCATTTTAACCAAGAGTTTATCAATAAGTCCCTCTCAAGAATCCGGTAAATAATGGATCAAAGAAAAATGTTGCTTAAGATTCACATCCATCTGAGGGATTAGATCAGCAGGACCAGACTTCAAACGGCAGAAAGAAATCAAGGGCTCGCTGACATGTTTTGAGGTTGGTTATTGATTGTTGCTGGCTGCAGCTTAGGGGCATCGTGGGTCACTCTGACTGCAGACCTTCCAGCCGCTCTGGATCTCCAGTGAAAATTGAAGCGTCTGGGCAGCTTTTCCCTCAGCAGTGCTCAGCTGTTTGTTTTTCTTATTTTCATAAACTGAATTTATTTTGGTTATCAGGCCAAATGATGATTCATCACATCATAAGCAGAAAAGCTACTTTTTTTAAGTGCTCTGCTTTTTCCAGGTGGAGGGCCACTTGGTTCAGAAACGACTCCCATCATACCTTGCTCTTCTCCTGCATAATGCACTTCAGGGGGAACAGCAGCATTAAGCATTTGTCTTGTTAATAGTGGCATTAAATTTAAAGTCATAGTATAAAGAAAACTTATTCGAGTGTAATATCAGAACCTATAAAAAAATTAGCAGGTTCTAAAATTATTTAAATACAACCTAATGCAAACAACAGCACAATGACATATTACGCCATGTTAATATTAATTTAAGTACAACTGAGGGAAAACGCAGAAGCAGACAAGTGAAAAACTTCTAAAGGACATAAAGGGTAAGTAGCAGAACCTGGCTTCTTGATTAACTGACCATTAGTAATTATGAATGC